TTCTAATCTACATTTAAGTCGATCGCCACGCTTAGACAATATTCAATACAAAGTTATTCAATTACATATAACAACTAATTTTAATATCTTACGTGTTGGTTCATTATTTAAAATATCAATTACCGGTTATATATAAACTTAGTAGTAATAAGAGCAATAATGATCCTATTTGTTAAATTGAATAATAAAAAGGTAGTAATCATAAAATTATTATTGCGTATTACCTCTTCGGTCATTTATTTTATATTATATTTATGTATTTTCTACAGATTAAAACTATATGGATTAAAAGCATCTATTTAAATATTAAATATTTTAAGATTTATTCTGTAAATATTGCTTATTAATATATATACATATATATTCGTTATATTTATTTAGAAATAAAATTAACATATTTTCTGATTCTGAGCATATGAAAAAATTAATTAAGTCTGCAACAGCTCCCTTATTCATCATTATAAAATTGATAAGATCTTATTTTTTTACTTTGAATTTGAAATAGCTTTTACTAATTCACAATTACAGGGATATATGTTAATTATTAGATTAGTTTTACTTTATATTGACGAAGGAGTGATATCTTAATTTAATTCATAACAAAGTAAATGCGCTCTAATAGAGATAGGAAAAACAAAACGAAAAAAAGATAAAATTAAAATAATGCATAACTTTTTAATATATTGAAATGATTTATTAAAATTTTACTGTGTATTTTTTCTATGTTACAAAATTGCTCAATAAATTTTAATTTCAGTAAGTAGTGCTGTGTGCAGGTTCAAAAACCTCTAAACACAAAGTAAAAAGTCTTGAAGTGAAGCATATCACAAGTTTATCTGTCTCTTTGAAACTGTTGATGTGCTGTGTTTGTTTAATGTGCACATATTTTATCTTGCTTCTTCTGTCTCACTGACACCTGAAATTCGTTTGAAATATTCCAGTTATATCTTGATGATTGGTAACATTTTTTATTAGATTACAATGCAATGTTTTTTGTATGTAACTTAAAGAAATATGAGTTGTGTTCCATCCACATTGATAAAATATTATCGATAATATTAATATGCTGGGTTATCTATGACCAGTGAAACCCATCCAAATAGCAATAAATTTGGTAAAGGAATATAAATCTTTTAAATGTATCCGATACAGATGTATTCAGATAAATTGTAAAATTTATAATCACAAAGTAAAACGATGAATATTTATTGGTAAAGTTTCGGAATCGGAGAAATAAATTGAGTTTCCGTAAGCGAGAAGAGACACTTCTAAAACTTTGCTAAGTTCGAAATTAAACTTAAAACAACTAGATATTGCGTTCAGTGTTCAAGCCTGTGTTTCTGGTTGTCATATATTTCTGTATTCTTTAAATAACATTTTTGTAGATACGCGATTGCTTTCTATTATTATTACTATAAAATTATTTAATGATTTTATTGACTTGACTTTAGATCATACTTTTACTAATAAAGGGATATATTAAGTAATTAGACAACTATTATAATTATTATACCTGCAAGTGCCTTATTTAAAAAATGCTTACAAACAAAAAGTTGGTAGAGTGAACAGATAAATTTGTAATTAGTTAAATGTATCTAGTTTTCTTAGTTTTTAACTAGATACAAGTAACTAATTTATCATTAGTGTGTTACCGCCAGTCTGCTAATTTAATTGAGATTATTTAATTATGACTTTTCTTTATCAATCCGATTTCCTAGTCAAATTTAAATATTGATACTAACAATTTGCTGTGTAAGATTTGTAATTGGTGCCCCAAGATACTCCCATGTCTCTAGCCACTACACTGAGTTCAAGTGGCTCTTCCCCTCCATTCGAAGACAATATTTCGTTGGTACGTTCCTCTATCATATCATCAACAATCATCGCCCTTCTTACGCCTTCAACCTTCTTCAATTCAAGTCCTCATTCCATTCCCTTTTCACAAGATCCCAACCTTCCGACCTTTACATTCCTTCTCACAAATTTGCCTCGTTCCAAAACTCTTTATTGCTCGCACTGTTAATTTCTGGAATTCCTTTCCTATACCAATTTCTATCCCAAAAACAGTCATAACAGTCCTCCCCTCTAACCTTTTATGTAAATTTACATATTATTCAAAATGATTTACATAATGATATATTTACATATAATTCATTACTTAAATACTTACTATCAGATTCGTCTTCTTTTTCTTTTTATTTTTTCTGCAGAAACACAGAGTTTATTGATAAGAAGAATGTAATGTATTTTTTATTTTAATTTTTTTAAAGGTTTATACTTACATTTTACCACTGTACATAGTTTTAAGTGTCTTGGCATGGTTTCTTTTTTTTTTATATAGATTTTTTCTATTTTGTACATAGTATGTTTAACTAATATTTTCTTTACTTTTTTCTCTTTAATTTTACTTAGGCCAGACATAATACTTTAATTTTGTACTTTTTTGTTATTCTAAAGGTAATTCGTCCCATAGAAAATTATTTTCTCTGTTCTATTTTAACAATGTTTTTTTTGTCTTGTTTTATTACATATAAATTACTAAGCAAATGTTTAAGTTGTATTCTATTAATTTGATTGTCTAGTTATCTTTTCTTTATTTTTACTGAGTTTTATATAAAGATAATTTAATTTCATTCATGTCTACATAATTATTCTCGAACCTTTTCTTCTTTTTTAATTTTCAGGTATTAACTAAAAATAGAAATAAAAGTTAAAATTTATTGTGGAACTTTGTTTGTGTCATTTTTTCATGTGAAATAAATAAATTAACATATGGTTACACTAGGGGAAATGAATAAATAAAATTCTGATTATCAGGCCGTAAAATTAGTTCCGGGTTTATTTTTTTCACATACCGATGGCAGGTACACATTTTATGAAAACTGTATGAACGCATAAATGAAATATATTCATATACTGTGAGAGAGAAATAACAATATTGAATTTAAATTTTTCATTAGTGTTTTATGTTTCAGACATCAAGAAACAAGTTTTATTCCATGTCTATGTCCCAACCTGTCTGTCTGCAGTCAAATATCCGTGGAGGACTTAATAGAACCACCGCTTCATCCAATTTCAATTAAGTTTTCAGCGACTGTGCAGACTTCTACCTAGTTGGTTCCATATAAATTTTATTAAGTTCCATCCTCAACTATAGGTGCCCAAACATATTTTTTTTTTTAAAAACAGCTATTTATAAAAATATACATACAATAAAAACATACAAATATATACATATATAATTAATTATTTTTATATCTAATTTAATTAGGCAACGCCTCATTTCTGTGGATTTTTCATTTCTCTCTGTCTTTTGGTCCAATTAATGTAAATGGTACAACATCTACTGCTGTTTATTATATTTCACTGACTTTTCAAGAACTCTTCTGGTTGGTACTTGTATGGTCCCAAATCAATTTTATCAAACTTCACCCCTTGCTTTCTCATGTGCATACGTATTTTCCTTGACGAAATATTTCAACAATTTCTTCGATAGAAAACTGACTTGGGAAGATATTATTTATTTAGAATCCTATATATGTATTATTTCTAAAAGGTGTTTTTTGTCGGTACGCCATAACTTCGTCAATTCTTCATCAAACCCCATGATTGACCACTCATTTTGAAGATATTCTTCTCCTTTATATGCGAAAAATAGTTCTATCCCCCCCCCAAAATTTCTGGAAAAAAAGTTATGAAGGAAAATAAACTTTATTTGTGAATAACTCCAAAAGTATGAATTTTTTCTTGTTATACCCATAATAATTAGAAAGATTACTAAATTACCTACAAAACAAAAAAAAATCGGACAATTATTAACAAAGATACTGTCCATTAGTTTTGATATACTTATTAATGTCTTCCTGTTTAAAGATATTGCATTTAGGAGTAGAATAGTCTATTAAACTTTTGTTTCTAGGCTGATATATTAATTTTATTATTTCTTAAAGACATTTGGTTGTTCTTAATTTTATTTTTTTTAATAATTTGGAAAATCTCATGATCGGGACATTATTTTTTCTTTATTAGTTATTATTATCTTTCCAGTCAGCGTTTAAAAATAGGTCCTAGCAAAGCAATTTGTACAAATATTTTTGGCTATTATGTTTAATAGAATATCGTAATCGACCAAGGAAAAAATATTAATTAATTCCTTACATAATTTATATGAACTAATTATTTCCATATTGTTTTGCTATTTCTTCACTAAATAAAATTTTCTGCGAATTATTTGCACGGGCGAACTAGTATAATTTTTTAAAACTCAAAATATTGATAGTGCAAATATTTTTTTTATAGATATTATGGAAATAATCTAAATCTCTACTTAAGTGCCACTGCACTACTTTTTTTTTTCTAAACATGAGGTGGTAATTCGAATATAACAAAACTTAGGTTTGAAAAATATCAACATTTATTATCACTTGTCAATCAATAGAGTATACACCAGAATATATTCAATTATATAATATATATATAAAAAACCAACTCAGGAGAAAAATATATTAATGATAAAAATACAAATAGAAGAATACATATATATTTTATAATAAGATTCAGAAAGAAATTGGACTTTTGGAGAGTGTTCCAGATAAAGGGCTGATGTTGCTCCATAATTCCGGCATTTGTCTAGGTTCCAGCGATGCGTCAACGTTACTGGAAATGTTCTCTTGGTGCCATTGGATCAATGGAGCAATAAAAAAAAAATAAAAAGAAAAGAAAAAAAAAAGTTCTACACTACTGTAAAAGGGGAATAACACCGAACAAGCTACATACAATTTTGGGAATACACTGGGAGAAAGGTATGTTTTATTACGAGAAATCCACAAATATACACAGGCATAGAGTACACATATTAAAGGAATTTGAGTATTTGACATAGAGATTCTAACCAGGAAAAGAAAAAAAAGAAAAAACCCTAACGTCTAAATTGTCTTTTTTTTCAATTATTAATTTTTGGAATTATTGGGGGAGTGGAGGAAGGAGAGGGGAAATGCAGCTTATTCTGTAGACCTCTTAACGAAACCGTTGAAACCTGCCCGGTCGATTTCGTCGAAATTTCTCTTGACGAAGCCGTCGAAACCGCTTCGGTCAATTTCGTCGAAATTCTTCTTCTTGATGAAGGTGTTGAAGCCGACTCTGTCGATCTCGTCCATGCCGTTCCTCTTATCAGCGGCGAAGAGGGGTCCGCTGAAAATAAAGAACAAATAATATATTTTTTTATTTTTTATTTTTATTGATGATATTTACAACTGTATTACAAATAAAAATACATTTAGTAAATATGAACAAAGCAACATAATAACATGAAACCACTTGTTGAGAAACTACCCAATGGTAGCATTCTAAAAATGTATTTACAAAAGGAGATCTTCTTTTCAGACGCTGGTTGTCAGGGATCGAAGAGGAAGCAAGGTAAGAAATGAAAGGGTTTGGATGATTCTGAAGTTTGTTATGGAAGGATGGGTATCTGGATTGGGCCAGGTCAGAAACATAAGGAACATTAAGGTCGTTATGGATGATTTTGTTTGTGCGAAGTAAGGAGCAGTGAGGATTTTAGATTGTAAGGATTGGATACGAGAGGAATTAGATTGCTTAGTGGAGCCCCAGAGCTCAACTCCTTAAGTCCAAATAGGTCTTATTGTAGTCATGTATATGAGTCTTTTGTAATTGACTGGGAGCTTAGAGCGTTTGTCTTTAGTAAGTGCTGGAGTAGTCGGAAACGTTGAGCGTATAAAATATAACTTAAAATAGAAAATATTAAAAATGTTATATATATAATAATATAAAACATTAATATTCCAAACGACACTGTAGGGGATAGAGGAGAGGAAATAATCCAGGGATGGAAAAAAGATAGATTTCCTTAGGGACACTGCAATTTTTCTACTTGATGTAAGAGTTTCAGTTTGGAGTATAATATGACCTCAGTAGTTTAATTTTTAACTAAAAAAAAATTTAAATAGAAAGTCCTGGACCTGTGTTAAGTAAGTTCGTATTTTCTCAACTTATTGCTATTGCCAATTATTAACTACTCTTTTTTCTTAATGTATTTTATTTTTCAAACAATATATTTCAAATTAAAAAAAAAAAAGTATAATTCTAAAAATTTCTCACTTATAAAAATAAAATATGGATTTCCTTTTTCTTAAAAATTTTGTTTTCCTTTTTAATATTCCTTTTTTTCAGTAAAATAGAGCCCAGGAACATCCGTAAATCTACAATGATTTCGAAGAACAACACAACACATTATTTGGTTTAAATAAATTAAAACAAAGTCTAATATAATTAATTACAAATATTTCGAAAATAACGAAAAAACTTTCGCTTTTTACCAACGGCTCGATAAATTATAAAACAATAACATAGACTTGAAACATCTCGAAATTAAATAATTACTAAATTAAAGAAACTAGTAAATGACTTAAAAATTTCCTTAATCGTAAAACTTATGATCTTACAAACTAATATTATTTTATTTTATTTTTTCCATTTATAGACTCAACTCTTCCACTGAGGTCCTATAATGCAAAAAATAATATTATTAATATTAAAACTTATTTCAATGAAGTATTTCATCCTAGAATAATATATAACTTTTCAAACAAACCAAAAATAGTTGAATTTTTTTTTGTATTGTTGCAAGGAGGCGAAACTATAAATAAATCTAATCAATAAAAAAATAAGCTGCTTTTCGATTCTCACTTCGAGGGATCAATTGGGTACAGATAAGTAGAATTCAAAGACTGACAATTGAAATACCAACATTTATAATGAAATACATCAAAATTGTGTTTCCTTTTCGCAATATATTATGACAATGATGTTCATTTATAATTAATATGAAATCGTGTGGATAACTATGAAATCTGAGCATTCATAGTATATTCCCCGTGTCATGAATTCAGTAAATATACTGATTCATAAAATTAGTGAAAAATAAAGGTCAGTAATAGGATGATATTTATCGTGACTATTTTACTTTTTTTTTTTTTTTTTTTTTTTTTTTTTTTTTTTTTTTTTTTTTTTTTTTTTTTTTATGAAACATCGCAGTTTGCAAAAATTGTCTCAATGAAGCATAATGGTTACTTACTGTTGCTTCATACCCACGATTCCCTAAAGATCGCGAGTATTCTTTCTTTCTAATCCTCATCCTCCACAACGTCTTGTGTAAGAACAATACGTGGCCTTTAATCTTAGGTAAAAGCCTGCGCATTTTGTTTTTTTATCTGTTCCAGTAAGACAGCTAATGAGGCAGAAACTGCTTTCTACACAAATTTGAAGACTTTTTTAATTTTTTCTTTAAAAACAGCTCATTTATTTATTTTCATTTGAAAAATATAGTTAAACATGTAGTTATGAAATAAGACATAACTTTTTTCACCAATTTTTTAGTTGATGATTTTAACTTTGGTGTATAGGTGAATTATGTAATATGTTCAGTGTAAGAACATAACCATTACTTTAGTGAATTCAGTAACGTTTTAAAACGGAAAGTATTAAAAAAAGAAACATTACAAATTATTTCTTTCTAATATATTGCCAATTACTAAACTCCTTCCACGTGTGGGGGAAAAAGCGTGGCTCGGAGATTCTTGGGCGAATGTATATATTTTATATAGGTATGATTGTGTTTAGAAGTTTTTATTTTATTTTATTTGTTTATTTTATTTTTATTTAACTTCTTCACAAGTATTATTTATTTACTTATTATATTTATATTTATTTCTTTATTATTTGTATATATTGTATGAATGAGAACTTGTAGCCCTAATGCTTATAGCCCTCCAGCAGTGGCTGATTGTATTATTATTCAATAAACAGATTAAAAAAAAAAAAAAAAAAAAATTACTAAACTGGAAGGCATCGAAAAAAAAATCTCGACATAAATAATAAAATAAAACCCATTTTTTTTTTTTAATTTTTAAATCATCAAAGGTTCTTCATTAAATTAAGCAGTAAATGAAATAATTATTTTGTGATAAATACTTTCAAACGTTCACAATTCGATTTAAGAGTTTGTATGACACAGTGTTATAATGAGATGAATTTAATATCGTATTGTTATATATAGATAATTATTGATAAAATAAAAATTATTGTGTTAATTTCCAATTTATATTGATTTGTTCTCTTGCTTATCAAAGCTTTCTTTCTTTGTTTAAAGAAAAACAAATACTAAGTTCCTGAAAGAGCAAATAATTAGTTGTTGAATACCAAAATTAGTCATCATAGTACTTTCGAGAAGTTAATTATATGATAATAAAAAATAGTAAATAATCAACTATTAACAACTATTTTAATCATTCCGGGTTGCCCACTTAGTACAATGTTACACGATATTAATCTCTGAGAAAAACCAAACCAACAAAATTTACGAAAACAGATAATTAAAATAAAATTATGGAATAACAAAAATTACAAATATTATCTCTTATTTCATTTGTATATTATATCATATGTTTTATATAGAGTTGTATATTTTAATTTTTTACATACAAAATTTAAGTAGGGTACCTATGATAAATTAATTATTAGAAACATAATCGGTCAAACAGCTTTAGTAATATACATACATAGGCAGATACGTATCTGAGAGATTAACATAAATATTGGTTAGCCTATTTGGTTTGATGATAAGCAAAACAGCGCTTGATTTAGTGAGGCAGATATTACGAAGTATTCGTTAGCAATGAACCACTGGTTATGCTAAACACGGCATATCTCAACTGATTAAAACATTCACTGGATAAATTAATTATTTATGACACATATGGATATTTTTTTATTTCTAATCAATATCGTCTTCTACGTCACAGTTCATAAAGTATAAAAAATAGAAAGAGCTTATTCGATTCGACTAAAAATATTAGTATTTTGTTTTTATCGATAGAAAAAAAAATAGGATAAGTTAACCACATCAAATTTTGAGTGTATTCGGTTATAACATTTGTAAGAAAGGCTAAAATAAATATTTATTAAAAAGCATGACTTAAATGCAATTTTTAAACTTTTATTTTTAGACTAACATTTTAATCATTTTTTTTTTTAGTTTTGGCTTTTATTGTAATTGGTTTCTATTTTTTCTTAACTAAAACTTGTTCAACAAGGCTCTACAGAACAAATATTTAAAAATAATATATTTATCTGTTGATTTCTCGAATAAGTCAATCGAAAAAATGAATTTTATTCTTAACTAATCAAACAAAAGTTTAGAAATTGGAGTTAAGCGTTTTGGTTAGTAGATGCGATATATATAATTACTATTTTGAAAAATCCCTATTTTATATATTTATTTAATTGATCAAATATTTATACAATTCAATTTACTCAATAAAAACAATCTAGGTAAAAACTCACAGGCCGTTTTTACATACATTGCTCTTATTGTGTAAATTGAATTTTATAAATGTTGTTTTTAGTAAAATTAAAAAAAAAATGACTAACTATTTATTTATTTCAGTCTCTTATTGGACAAATGACCAAAAGATATAAAGTAAATAGAAGAATGAGTATTAGAGAATTATTCACTATTCATTAAAAACTTCTTAGCTTTAATTTAGCTTTCGGATAATGGTTCGTTCTTCTGTATTATAAATTAAAATGTACGAGAGCATATCAAATATATTTATTTATTTTTGTTATGTACTAGATGGTCTTTTCGGTTAATATTTAGTATTTTTAAGAACATAATATATTACATTTTACAGTTTAATGTTAAATGTTAAATGTTACTCTAATTGTTATTACACTGTAGTAGATATTAGAATCAACAGCTTTACTAAAACTACCAACGTTATTTACAAGATGATACAACTGGAGGCAGTCGAAAGATACAAATTTTATTTTTATTTGAGGACATGCTACTCAAAAAGTTGTAGACATTTTGATAAATTACATATTGAAACTTCAAATAAATATTAAATATCTTATACGTTCCTCAATCACACCTGTCATAACCTAGACACATGGGATTCGATGGTTCAACTTTTCAGCATGGACGTCGTTATGGGAGGGTAGAGGCAATTTCACGATCCTCCCAATAATTTAAAAGTACAAAAAGTTAAGAAATTTGATATTTAGGAAAACATTTCAAATGACGAAGATTGTAAAAAAAAACAGTATCCAGAAATTCATTAATATGTCAAATCTTTACTAATATCCCTCATGTCAAGAAATTGGAATTTTATCGATGCAATTTTGTATTCATAGAAGAGCAAATTATTATTATTAAGTGTTGACATTATTTAAAAAAATAAATTATTTCCCAAATCTTAACATTTTAATTTTTAAACTTGAAATTCCAATGCGTTTCTAAAAAAAAAAAAAAAAGAAAAACTGAAGTGACGTCCTTGCTTCTCAGATTAAACGATAGGTATTTCATGAAATGAAATGTAATAAGATTTACAAAAAAGCCTGTAAGAATAATTTAATTGTAAAATAGAGATTTTAGATTTTCTGATGAAGAAATGTGAACTGAAAAAGTTACATAAACCATTTAATTACATTTTCTTCAGCAGGTTCGTTAAATATAAAGTTCATATCATTTTCCATATTTTGAATAAATTTATTTTTTGTACTACGAGGTTTTGCAACTTTTTACTTTTGGTTATTCCTATCTCAACAACCCCTATCTCGCCTCGCCATTGATGGCACTATGGGTATGGATGGTTGTTCTTGAAGCATAATAAACATATTATTATAATTATATAGTAAACATATAGTGGGTTAGTTCATTTTGAAGGTCTACCACGGATACCTTTTACCTCACCCAGGGCGGTTTCTGACTAGAGCCGCTACACTTGAGCATGTTAGAGCGGGAAACGCCTCAACATACCAGGTCTTTTGCGAAGTACCTATCGACATGTATGGGTACAAATAAGAATATTCTTTTTTACAATGACATACCTGAATCTCTTGGATGATCCGAAGGTCTTGCCAGAGATGGAGTCGAGATATTCCCTGTTCTGCCTCGGGATCATGTAGCCCCTGGACCTGAGGAGTCCGTTCTGGAGGTCTCTCAGGAGGTTGCCACCGCCTGAAATCCAAAGATATGCCATGATATGGAGGGCACAAGGATATTATCCATATATACACATAAAGGTTGATGAACAAGGTATTAAGCGAGAGTTGGCAACTCTGGCACTAATCCTGGGCCTAGGCAAACTGTCTAGAGGAATTAGGGCGTCAGAGAGTTGTATTAGTTTGTCGGAATGGTCAGCTTTAAGCCGAATATCGTTGTTGCCAACCCGAAGCAACCTTTAGCAATCTGTCGCAAACCGTCGATGGGAGGAAAGTGATTCATTTTTGGTTTTCGTTTTTGGAATTGATTATCTCAGTTTTTTTTTTACCACTTACAGGATGCTGAAAATTCTTACTTTACGATAGAAACATTAGCTCCTTTGTGGTATATATGAAAAAAAAAAAAGTCCTCGTTTACAATGAGCTGATATTTTATTGTTATTTATTAGTCTTATTAAAAACCCTCAGGACCCAAAACTCCTTCCTGTTTCCTTTGAAGAGAAGAATAACTACATTAAATGTTTATATATATATATATATATATATATATATATATATATATATTCTGTGAGGAAGAATAGTGCTTCTTTTGTCAATTTTAACAATTTCCTCTTGGCTAAATAGAATGAACCCATATTTTACTCACAAAGAGTTGAGATTCATAACTTTACATGAAAAAAAAATTGGAATGAGCTCTTTTATCCTAATCGAAATATATATATTTTTTTTATCGAGTGTGAATGTGCTCCCCGAACACTATTATAAAATTTCTAAATAAATAAGTTTGAAAAAAAAATTGTATTCTCTATTGAAATGTAATTATCGAATTTTGGTAAACCGAGATACAGTTCATTAGATTTACATTTCTTTGAGACATTTTATTATATATGTAGGGAAGATGTAAAATTTTCCAAGTCAAAAGTAACCGATGACTGATTAACGAATATCTTGAAGGATATTGAAAGCTCTTTTGAGTAATAAAATTTATTTTTGTTTCAATAAATATCAATGGCTTAACTTTAAAACCATCTAAGATCCAAATACCCAAAAACCCAAGACCAAAATAACAAATTTTACACAAGACAAAAATAAAAAAATATATTTCTATTGGGTTGAAGTTAAAATTTTGATTTTTGTTTGAAAAAGTGCAGAAAAGCAAAACATGAATTTTAAATATTTCCTCGAAAATAGGGGTTTTTCGAAAAGTCATGGTTCCTTTTTTTTCGTACATAATATGTAATTGATTACCTGAGCTTACCAACATGAAAAACGACATGTATTCATGTATTTGATTCAGGTATAAGTACCATACGAAAATTAAAATTAAAAAAACAGGAAAAATAACGAGACTGTCAGGAATTTATCACTTCTGAAACCCATTCAAAAGCGATTGATATTTTTTTATATTTATTATTTTTTTTTGTGCTTCTAATAATAAAATAGAAAACTCCTCAATCCATTGTTTTAAAGGGGTTTGATATCTTCTTCAGTACTTCATTATTAAAAATCCAATTAGCAAATTCTTCTTCATTAAAACTTTCCTAGCCAATAAGGACCTTTGCTTTCTTTTTATTGATTACAAAAGTTATTTAAAAAAATAATAAAAGAAAGAAGAAAGTAAATAAATAATAAACCAGCACGATAACAGCAACCGATAGAAGTTCCTAACATCGACCATAAAGAAATTATGGGTTGTCATTAAATTACTTTGAGGACGTGAGCCTTATTTGTATGAAGACAAAATTATTATGGCCAATTAAATACCGTTAAATAAATGAACATCGTAAGCTGTATAAAAATTTAAATTATTAATTAACTATTAAATTTATTAATAATGTGTAAGCAATGAAAAATACTTCAAATAAAATAATAAGCAGAAGCTTTAATTTGAAAACCATTACCAACAGTTTCAATTTCAACACAAAATAACGATTGAATTTAAGTGCAGCTAATGCTTAGGAGTAAGCAATACAAGCTAATAGTGTTTTCGCATGCAACAAAAGTGTAAAGTAAATAAAAAAAACAAGTCATGCAATATGCAAAGTACTTACCAGGAAAGCCTACATGCTTCTGCGTAAGGTTCGATTCCATCTGACTTTGGCAAGTTGAAGAGATTTTTTGATGTGAGAAACCATGGTCTATTTTAAACTTAATTAATTTATATTATTTCATATAAGTAATGAGAATGGCAGGTATTTAAAAAAAAAATCTATGTTGTACTGAAATCAACTGAAAAACGATTAAACTCATTTTATAGTTTAATCATTTATGTTAACAAAAATCATTTATATTTTTCCAATAAAAATCATTTATACTTTTCCAAAAAACGTTACCGGACAACTATTGCTGGCAAGTATTATAGTCCATGGCACAGATACCGTTTTATCCAATTATTAACATCGGCCTGAAACTTCGTAAATAGTTTCATCTCATCGTAACCTACAACTATTTTATTTACGAAAATTCTTGGAATTGTGGCGTTTTCAATCTGGAGGGGAAGGGGCAAACTTTGTCAATTTAATTAGTGACTAAAAACTTGTAAATACTCATTTGCTTTCCACTTGGATCCTAAGATAATTTGATCACAAAGCCGATAAAAAAGGCGACCTTTAAAAATATTGAGCCGTTTAGCGTGACCCACACTCCCAAAATTTCAAAAATACGAGATTATATAGGACAAACGGCCCATTATTTTTGTAGACAACCTTTGTGACCAATTTATCTTACGATCCGAGTGGAAAGCAAATAGGGTATTTACGAGTTTTTAGTACGTAATTAAATAGACAAAGTTTGCCCCCTTCCAGATTGAAAACGCCCCAATTCCAAGAGTTTTCGTAAATAAAATATTTGTAGGTTATGATGAGATGAAACCATTTACCGATAAAAGTTGCAGGCGGATGTTGAAAATTCAATAAAACGGTGTCTGTACCACGGACTATTAGATAATAAATTAGACAATTCATTAACTTGGACTAATGCAATTTAAAATTCTTCTAACACATTTAAAATTTTTCTATCCATTTAAATTTCGCTTATATTATACAGCGATGTCGATTCGATTAAACAGGTCTTTCTTGATATTATACGTGGAAAAACTTAAAATTTTATATTATCGTCATTGTTCCAAATGATGAACGATATATAAAAAAATGAATTTATTTGTTGTTGTTAAATCAATATTTTTATTGTTACCAGTCCACTCTATGTCTAAATTTTTATAACTGGATGTTCCTAAAAATAAATGGTGTAATAATATCCAACTATTTTATAAGAGAGAAAAATACCTAATTTAAAGCAGTGCTACTATATAAGGCTGCTTGATACGTACCAGAGTTGGGCGTTAGCGCGCTAATTTTTAACTAGCTAACGTAGCGCTAAAAAGCTAAAATTAGCGGCGCTAAATATTACGCTAATTTAGCTTCCAGCTGTTTTAGCGCAGATAACTTTAGCGCTAAATTAGCTATTAGCGGAAACGAACCGCTAACTTTTAGCTTAAGCTAAATTATCTATTAACTTAACTAAAAGCTAACTTAGCGCTAACACTAGAGGAAAATTTATTTATTTCATTTTATTAATTGATATTAGGATCGACTGTTATGTAATCAGGGGAGCTTTTTATGAAAATTGCCCCGGGCACCGACTTTTTGTAACTTTTCTGATTTAATCGATATCAGGGTCTACTCTTATGTTTTCGGGGGCGCTTTTTATAAAAATGATTTCGAATTTGAGATTGGGGTCCCCGGGACTCGACTTTTTTTAACTTTTCCGATTAAATCGATATTAGGGTCGATTATTATGTTTTGGGGGGAGCTTTTTATGAAAATGATATAAAATTTGAGATTGGGCCCCCCGGACCTTTTTTTAACTTTTTTGATTAAATCGATATCAGGGTCAACTCTTACGTTTTGGGGGACGCTTTTTATGAAAATTATATCAAATTTGATATTGGGCTCTCCGGACCTCGACTTTTTAAACCTTTTTTGATTAAATCCATATCAGGGTCGACTATTATGTTTTGGAGTTCGCTTTTTATGAAAATATATCAAATTTGAGATTGGGCCCCCGGGCCTCGACTTTTTTTAACTTTTTTGATTAAATCGATATCAGGGTCAACTCTTATGTTTTGGGGGGCGCTTTTTATGAAAATTATATCAAATTTGATATTGGGCTCCCCGGACCTCGACTTTTTAAACCTTTTTTGATTAAATCGATATCAGGGTCGACTATTATGTTTTGGAATTCGCTTTTTATGAAAATATATCAAATTTGAGATTGGGTCCCCCGGGCCTCGACTTTTTTTAACTTTTTTGATTAAATCGATATCAAGGCCGACTGTTATGTTTTGGGGGGGGGGCGATTTTTATGAAAATGATATCGAATTTGAGATTGGGTCCCCCGAGCCTCGACTTTTTTAAAACTTTTTGGATTAAATCAATATATGGGCCGACTATTAGGTTTTGGGGGGCGCTTTTTATGAAAATAATGTCGGATTTTAGGTGTGAACCCCTCCTCCCTCCCCCCGGGCACCGACTTATCGTAACTTTTCTGATTTTATCGATATATGGGTCGACTATTAGGTGTTGGGGGGCGCTTTTTATGAAAATAATGTCGGATTTTAGGTGTGACCTCTCCCCCCCCCCGGGCACCGACTTTTTTTAACTTTTTTGATTAAATCGATATCAGGGTCAACTCTTACGTTTTGGGGGACGCTTTTTATGAAAATTATATCAAATTTGATATTGGGCTCCCCGGACCTCGACTTTTTAAACCTTTTTTGATTAAATCGATATCAGGGTCGACTATTATGTTTTGGAGTTCGCTTTTTATGAAAATATATCAAATTTGAGATTGGGCCCTCCGGGCCTCGACTTTTTTTAACTTTTTTGATTAAATCGATATCAGGGTCAACTCTTATGTTTTGGGGGGAGCTTTTTATGAAAATTATATCAAATTTGATATTGGGCTCCCCGGACCTCGACTTTTTAAACCTTTTTTGATTAAATCGATATCAGGGTCGACTATTATGTTTTGGAATTGG